TCCCTCATTCGGTAAGCAGCCGGATGCTATACAGGTCGTGCAGGAAGAAAATCTTTCAACTTAAAATCAGAGCATGCAGTTTGCAGTGGCCCTTTGCTGTGCAAGCTGCTGGCATGATCAGCGGAGCAACACGACAGCAGGCTGTGGAAGCTATCCTATTACATCTGACTGCAAGGTGTGCAAGAGGAGCGGCAGTTCATGATGAGATCCAAGTTCTCCACCATGTCCTCTGCAAGTGTTTTCATGGCAGTCGCACTAGGAGTAGTAGTACTAGTAGTAGTAGTAGTAGTAGTAGTCGTAGCAGCAGCAGCAGTAGCAGTAGTAGCGGTGGTGGTAGTAGTAGTAGTAGTAGCAGCAGTAGTAGTAGTAGTAGTAGTAATACTAATACTAATAGTAATAATAATAGTAGTAGTAGTACTACTAATATTAATATAATAGTAGTAGTAGTAGTAGTAGTGGTAGTAGTAGTAGTAATACTAATACAAATAGTAATAATAATAGTAATTAGTAGTAGTAGTAGAAGTAGTAGTAGTAGTAGTGGTAGTTGTAGTAGTAGTAGTAGTAGTAGTAGTAGTACTAGTAGTAGTACTAGTAGTAGTAGCAGTAGTAATAATAGTAGTAGTAGTAGTAGGAGTAGTAGTAATAGTAGTAGTAGTAGAAGTAGTAGTAGTAGCAGTAGTAATAGTAGTGGTAGTAGTGGTAGTTGTTGTAGTAGTAGTAGTAGTAGTAGTAGTAATGGTAGTGGTTGTGGTAAAGGTAATAGTGCGGGTCATATTTTGTCAGTGTTTTGTGCAATTTTTAATTTTCAGGTTTAGGTGATATGACTCATGCTCAAACTACATAGCCTACGTTAATGAAACCCTAAAGCCTAAACCCATAATGCCTTGAACAGGGTGCACACTGCTTCGTGTATCTTTTCAGGTTTTCTGTGGATTTCTGAGGGATTTCGGTGATTTCCTGGCAATGTGGGCTTCTTGTTCTGGGTGTTAGCTGTTGGATTTGGAAGGTTCTAGTGCATTTCAAAGTTGTTTTTCGGCTTTCTTGGGTTTCTGGTTCAGGCTGCTAGCTTTTGGATTTAAAGGACTTTCTTCTTCTTTATGGTTGTATCTTGTGGACATAGGCTGCCTTTTCAAGGTTTGCTCAGGCTTCAGCACAGCCAGTAGTTCTCGCACATTGCATTCCCATCGTTCAAGATACTTTCCCACATGCGAGCAGGTCGAAGGATCTGCATGAACATCTCCACAGCCTCCATAGTCTAACCACCACAATACCATTCATGTTCGAGAGCATACGATTACCAGAGCACCCATACCCAAAACCACAATAAGGTTCATGCTCGAGAGCATACGATTACAAAAGCATCCATGTAATGACGCCCATGTTCGGGAGCATAGCTTACCAAAGCAGCCATGCCCAAACCTATAGCGTTCATGTTCGAGAGGATACGATTACCAGAGCACCCATGCCCAAACCAGAATAACGTTCATATACATTTATGTTCGAGATCATACGATTACCAGAGCATCCATGTAATAACGTTCATGTTCGAGAGCATACGCTTACCAGAGCAGCCATGCCCAAGCCGTAGTTACGTTCCTGTTCGAGCGCATACGGTGAACCAGAGCATACATGGCCAAACCACAATAACGTTCATGGTCGAGATCATACAGTTACCAAAGCACCCCATGCCCAAACCATAATAACATTCATGTTCGACAGCATACAGTTACCAGAGCATCCATGCACAAACCAAAGTCCCGTTCATGTTCGAGAGCATATGGTGACCAGAGCATCCATGCACCAACCATAATAGCGTCCATGTTTCAGAGCATACGTACCTGAGCAGCCATGCCCAAACCATGATAACTGATGACATTCATGCTCGAGAGCATACGGTGACCAGAGCATCTATGCCCAAACCATAATAACGTTGATGTTCGAGAGCATACGCTTACCACACCCGCCATGCCCAAACCATGATAACGTTCATGTTCGAGAGGATACGGTGACCAGAGCATCCATGCCCAACATGGGCCCGAGATTCTGCAGCCGCATGCCGCATGCATTCATGGTGGAGTTAGCAAAATTCGTCTGAAAACGCTCTACATGAAAGTAGTTTGCGTAGCATGAACAAAGACGTTTTTCCGGCCAAGTCGAAGGTTGCGTGCTCACAACACGCGCGGGCGTGGTGCAGGAGAGTATCACTCCGTGCCCGAAACATGTGGCAAAATATGACCCGTGCACATAGTAGTAGGCCATAGCGCTTTATTTTGCCGTGGCATAAACCCTATGTTTTGCTTTTTGTTTGTGCTTAAAGCCTGCGTTTCGGTACCAAAGACGTGCATTGGCGAGCCATGCAGAAAATGGCCGTTTTGGAAAGTGACGAATTTTGGTTCTAGATTGTTGTCTGACTTCACGCGCGCGAAACCACAGTTTCAGCAATATCTTATATTATCTTATCGTCGAATGTGCAAAAGCGGTCTTTCCGAGCCGTTCCTCGTGTTTGGTATTTTCCTATCTTGCATTTCGAAGGAGTGGGGGTGGGGGAGGTCAGGAGGGGGGGAAGGGTAATAACGTTCGACCCTGTCGAAATGCAAAACAGAAAAATGCCAAAAACGAGGAACAGCTCAAAAGGCCGATTTTGCAAGTTTACACGAACGCAAAAAAATGAAAAAATCAAAAAAACACCACTTTTTTGAAAGCAGAATTTTCAGCGCGTTACGCACATACACCTGTATAAATATCATAAGTGCCGTTGCCTCCTAGGCTCCCTAATAACATGATGACTGATAAGACCTAGAAGTAAACCACAAAAACGAACAAAATCATCCAAAACACAGTAATTATGCGGACCTTTTTTTACCACTTAGAAGTAAGAGTGCCACACCTGCCAGTGTTTTTGAAGCACCTAAGCCGCGATAACACACGGCAAAATAGAGTGCGGTGACCTAGTAGCAGTAGTAGTACTAGTAATAATAATAGTAGTAATAATAATAGTAGTAATAATAATAGTAGGAGGAATACTAGCAGTAGTAGTAGTAGTAGTAGTAATACTGGGAGGAACCCAGTCCGTGTTCGGCCGCGGTGTCAACCTGAGATTTGAATAGTTTTCGCACTTTTATGCCTGCATTTCAGTAGCAAACAACCGTATCCGCCTAGCGCGCTTGGAAAAACTTGTTATCAAAACCCGTCAAGTTATGGCTCCAAATTTTTCACGTGCATGCGCGCGAAGCCGCAGTCTTGGCAACATTTTGCGGTGATTGTCCTTCAAATTTGCAAAGCTGGCCTTTCCGAGCTTTTGCTTGTTTTTCGAGTTTTGCCGTTTTTGACTTCGTCGCTGCCACTCCATCGTTTGCTCGAAACCCAGGTTCCGGCACGTTCGCGAAAAATCGTCCTGCCTCCGCATTCGTTTTGCGGGTAGGGAGAAATCAAAAGTTTTGTTTTTGGGACGTGCTTCGCTGCCTGCTATTCTGCTGTTGCGCTGTTGACTTTGTAGCTTCCACGCTGTCGTACGCTCGAAACCCCAGTTTTGCACACTCCAGACTTTTTCCACGCCTCTGCCTTCGTTCTGAGGATGCAAGTATCACAAATTTTGTTGTGGGACATGCTGCTCCGAGTGCATCCAATGGGTTGGCGGGGGTTGCGTGGAAAAGGTTGGTGGGGTAGGGGGTTTAGTTACCTGCAAGCTATACACAGCCTTTGTTTCTATGAGACAAGTTCGACCATTCATTCTAAGAGATACTTCCAGGTTTTCGTATTACAAGCATCGAGGCCCAAGGGCCCCTTCAAAAAAGCATCAAAAACAATGTTAAAATCCAAGGCCGATTGCGGACCATGTACTTTATAGCAGAAGTAGTAGTAAGAGCAATAGTAGTAATAGTGACGCTGATGATGAAAATGATGATGAAGACTCCATGTCAGGTCCTGGGCACTGGGCCGTTGGGCCGGCCTAACATCCCATGCAGCCGTCATGATCGGGCGCAGCCTGATTTCCCCGCCAAAAAATATTGCAGGACAGCTGTATCTCTACAGCAACCTTATAAGAGTCAGAACGTGTCAGAATGCAATCAGAACTTCATAATGCCTGCCAACCCCTTTGGCCCCGTCAACGGCAGTCTATTTGGCGAAACAGAAATGCAAAGGAAATCTTAAACAGACTCGAGCAACTTTGTGTGGCAGTCGGCGGCAATGGGTCGGGGCTCTTTCCCTTGCTGGTACTGCTGCAGGATGACCTAGCTTACTTGGATCTTCCTGGTGCTTACCGGGGGAGGGGGGGATGGAATGCAGTCTAACATCGTCACTACTTGAAAAGATTTAAGCGAGACTACTACAGGGGAGGGGACATGATTGAGACTTCTGAGAGTAATGCTTCCTTCTCACTTGGTAGTTTCCCAAAATAGGGGGACCCCATTATAGACCCCAAAATACTATAGTCCCTGTTATAGGGACCCCGAAAAGGTACCCCTCATTTCAGGAAACCCCCACTTAAGCCTGGGACTTGGTCTGCTACTCCAACAGTAACAGCTACAGCTACAGCAACGACAACAAGAACTTGCTCAGCTACAACCCGTAGTTGGTACGGATACTGATGACAACCAACAGCCTTGACTTTTGCGCTTTCGTTTGAGTTTGCTTCCCGTGTTTTTTTGGGATCTTTTTGGGGCAAGTACAGTCTATCTTGCATTTATCGCCTTGTTTGGCCTAACCATTTTGAAGCCACGCGCATTCGCTTGTTGCTAACTTCAACTCACACATATGTGCTCCTCAAAAAATCAGCTGCATGAGCCCAACAGTCCTACTGCCGCTTATGCTAGGACTAGAAGAACGGACTGTCCATCCTCAAGCACAGCTCTCATATGTCCTAAGCATTATTGAAGCCGCACACCCCATACCCTATAGTCCCCCTCAAGTAGATAGAACATGGATTTGGGTATATTATAATAAGAACCCCATATATCGCATATTCCATCTACTTAAGGGGGACTTTAAACCCAAGCCACCTCCGGATTCAGACCAAGCTGGTGGAACGGAGCCTTCCCAGAGCTCATGAAATACATGATGAGGCCATATGCGTAGATGTCAACCTGCCAGGAAGAAGACATCCGCATTATACCAATAAAGACCAAACAGCTAAAAGTGAGCACGGACATTCTTGACATTATGTACTCCTTGTACAGCTCCACTGCATTAACCTAGCCCTTAAACTGACCACCACCTTGTAATAATGATTCCATTTGCTCCAGGATACAGACAGCAACACTCAACAGCAAGCAGTCCGTCCCGGCCCAACATTCTGCGAGCAGTTTACTTAAAGACCACCTGTTTCTAAGACTATCCGGAAAATACCCCAAAATGCTTGCATGGCAACAACTCTGCCGCACCCACCCAGCATCCAGTCCGGATAGCAAAACATTCTGGGATCCAAGGCCGGAACTATCTTTGCAATGTAGGCACAAGGACTAGAAGGGATGATGTACTTTGACTGTGCTGAATTGTGCTGATGCCTTCTCATCGTACGCCTGGTGCCGCACCACCTCAGGTGCCATGTAGCGCCAGCTGCCCACCCCACCAGTCATTGAGTAGCCTTCGCCATTGCGGTTCGCGATCAATCGGCTAATGCCGAAATCGGACACCTTGATCTCCAAATGCTTTGTCAGCAGGAGGTTCATAGGCTTGAGGTCGCGGTGTACCACATCGCGACAGTGCAAGAAGTTGAGAGCACGCCCGATGGCAGCACTCCAGTCCAGCACCTGCGTGCAAAAGCTGTGTTCAACACACCTTGCGATTCATATGTGCACGTGTGCCTGCTGGAGACCGGGACGCCAGAATGCCACGTCGTGCTTCTTGCGCTGGGCCATGTAGTAATGCTCTAAGTCGCCCTTGGGCAGGAATTCGGTCACGCACCTGCAGCCATGAACTCTCACAGAGATGCGCATGCGTGTCACATCACGTGACCAAGTGCAGTCATGCGAACCACAAGAGAAGTGCCACTCATCCAAGGCTCATGATAGGCAGCTGCTGATCAATGCACGCCCCCAGGAACATGACGAGGTCAGGATGTCGCAGGGAAGAAAGAAGATCGATTTCCTCAGGGAGCAGACAGCTACTCTTGCGTGCGCAGAAGAATTTCGGTAAGATTGGCATGAGATGGCATGAGCAAGCAGCGCTGAAGCTGTGCGAAGGTTCGTGCAAGAGCTCATCGGTAATCTCTTTGTCGTCGGAGTCGCTGGGAACAACTTCGAGGCTTGCCTGACCGCCATGATTGGACCTTTGGAGAAGTGAGGTTCAGCGATTGGCAGCACCCGAACGCGAAACGTCTGAGTGTGTACCCTGATGCGACTGAGTGCTCGACTGGAGCTGCCTGCACGTGGAGTCGTCGTGCAAGCCCGCACACTTCACCACCACATCGACGCCTTGCCATGATGCTTGGTAGAGTGTACTCTTCAAAGTCCTGCTGAGCTCTTTCTTCATCTGAAGATCCTTTCGGGACAGCTTCCAGTGAGAGTCCATGGCCCGAACCCACAGTCGTTGCTGCCGCATTGCGAAGCCCTCTTCGCTGCTGCACGTGGACGCCTCTGAGATAGCGCGCCCCATGGGAGCTTCAACTTTAGCCGCATCGCAGGTGCTCACCGAGAGTTGTGGCGAGAAGGGTGCAATCTTCAACTCCTCAGCGATGATGGTCTCCATGCTGTTCATATCCAGCTGCTGCTTCAAATCTTGAAATTCAGGGCCACTACACTACACTACACTGCGTCCTTGATGATAAACAGCCCCAACGTCACCTTGATGCCTCATGTGACGTGACGAGCATAGGAATCTGACAAGCCGGAAGAGTAAGGATCTGGTTCTGGGAGTGTGCAAAAGGACCCTGGCATCGCAAGACAACGCGGTTGCAAATGGCACGCCAATACGAACGCATGGCATCGATGTACTTTCGAAAGAACTATCCAAACTACAAGCTATCCTCATGGTGGCCCCGAAGCCCGAAATCCCTATTTAATCCCTATAATCCCTATTGTCCCTATTGTCCCCACAATCCCTATAATCCCTACAATCCCTACCCTAGACCATATTAACCCTTTGAGGCCTAGCCATTGTCAGCCTTAACCCTTACAATCACATATAACCCCCTAAACCCGAAACCCTTATAATCCCTATCAAAATCCTGGAAAACCCTATAAAATACCTGTGCAATCCCTACAAAATCCGTTGAAACCCGCAACAGAAAACTCAAAGCTGCCTCAGAGTCGCGGCTGGACCGTAGGGCTGCAATGGTCTTGGCCATCTCATCAAGCTCAGCCTCCATCATCCACAGTTTTTCTGGGTTGCTGTTAAGGAACTTAAATTAATTTACCATAATGGGTATATATAGTAAATAATGGGGTTTCCCCAATATAGTAACTTAATTTAAGTTCCTAACAGCAACCCAGGCTTTTATTCTTGTTTTTGTTCATGGGACCTTTTCTCCACAAGTCTAGCTTTGGGTTCTGGGTTTAGGGCTTAAGGCTTTAGGATTTAGGACTTGGGGCTTTAGGGTTTCGGGCTTAGGCAGAGGGATTTTGAGATTATTGAGATTGGAGGGAGGTCCTTTTGGGGAGTAGAAGGATGATAGAACGGAAAAGAACGTGGAGATGAAATGGACACTGGGATTATATTGAGGTTTATAAGCGGACTACGGCTTCCGAAGTTGGGTGTGCAATTTTGAGGATCCCTATCATAAGGATTACGGTATATTGGGGTTCACATAAGGTACCCTAGTTTTGGGCAACCCCCACCAAAAAGTACAGGGCTCTGGGGCTCAGCGTTGAAGTGCACAGGCATTTAATTTCAATACCCCTCTTGGTTTTGTGTCTCGGCCTGTGCATACCTAGAAGTGGTTCCCTGGTTCCAGAAGGTCGCGTTCGCAGAAACCATTTAAGGGATGCAGCAAAAGGCCTGCTTGCAAAGCTTTGCGCCTGCTATCGCAATCAAGCAAGCAGAGAACGCCAGTATATGGCCTTCACATAATTAACAGCTAGCCCAACCTGGCATCACTGCAAGACAGCCCTAGTGCCTGAGATCCGATGTTGAACTCCACATGTGTCCTGAGGCAAACTGATCCCTGACTGCTGCCAGGCTTCATGGTTTCATGATGTTGACGCTCTCAGTCACCAACTGCCTAATAGCCATCCTTCCCTTTAATACCAGGGGTTCACTGCGCTGGCTGCATGCCGAGCGTCGTCTTCGGCTGTAGCCGCTTCAAGTGCCGCCACAGCTTCCACACAGCAGTCTGGGGACACACCACAAGCTCCTGGTCCTGGCAATGGCTGCTATCCTGGACTTGCGGTTTTTGACATGACGTCCAGGATGGCATACCCAAACCAAGAGAGAGTCTGGGTTGCTGTTAAGAAGCTTAAATTAAAGTACCATAGTGGGTATAGGTATATATAATAACACATTACAAGTCATGTTGTTTTTTTTGTGTGGTAACTTAGGCTCAATTCCTTAACAGCTACCCAGCTTGATGGTGGGTAAGGGTTCCTTGTCCTGGCCTCGCTGCTCATCTGCTCAAACTCGTCTCTCAGACCGTTGAAAACTCCAGGATTGTCTGTTGCCACGGTGAGGACTCGAGCCAAGCCTTTGTACAGTAACTAGGGTTTTGGGTTTAGGGTTTAGGGGACTTTTAACACTTCGTCCAAAATTGGGGTAATGCAAGTGGCTTCATACTTCTTTAGGCACCGGGTGACGAAGTCTATCTCCTTTCTCTGTCTCTCTCGCGCTATGGGGATGTACTCGTACAGTGGTATGTGGTCCTATACCCTAAACCCCTAAACCCCTAAACCCCTAAACCCTTAAACCTAAACCCTATGTTTGAATGTCAAGATGCGGCAGGCAAAGACTTCGCTCTGCAGCTTCTGAGCAGATTCGCGGAAGCTTTGGGAGGACTTTGGACGATTCTGACGTTCACCTCAGAAGAAGCTCCATGAAAAGCAAGCTCCGTTTTAAGGGGCAGTAGAAGAGGCAGATCTCCTCAATATGAATAAAGCACTAGTTGGGCTTCCATGAGTCACCTCCTATTTTCATTGCTGCGGATTCCGCGATACTTTACTGCAAGCACCTCCGCATGTGCAAGCCCAGGCACAGGACTGCGCAATCTCCATGCAACTTTTGCCTTGCCCGGGAAGGAGGCCCAAGACGCTTTTTCCAAAAGAGGTGGTCTGCTTCATATAAACCAATATACTATAATCCTTACCAGTAGCATTTCCAAACAACTGGCCCAGTTGAGGTCAGAGAGTGTTGTTGAACTGGAAACACACCGTCAGCTGCCGTTGTCATGCCAGGGCACTAACTTTGCAAACGGCAGCCAGGTTGAGCCAGGCGTCTGGCGGGTCCCCTGTTGTCCACGCCTGCGCAAAATGCAGGCAAGCCCGTTAGCCAAGCAAAACCTCTGCCAAGATGGCCTTGAGCAAGGCTTCTATGGTCTTCTGGCTCCACAGCAGCTCCTGCAATCACAGGCTGTAAGTAATCTGTCTTTGTTCAAGCAGATTTTTCAGGTCAGTGGCTTACAGGGACTGCCCCTCAGGAAAGACCACAACACCCTACATGAAGCTTATGACAAGCGTCCCGCCCTCACCTGGCACCTTTGTCATTCAGCTCATTTCCCCCTCCCCCCGGACATTCTGCTTTTCGGAGCTCCCCAAACTAACATGAAAGTGCAAAGGAACCTTACAAAGAAAAAGGCTTGTCACAAAAGAGGCGTAGATGATGTTCCAGTGTTCCATCTTAGTTTTGGGTTTGGAGCTGATCTCTCGTCGGAACCCGCCTCGAAACCTCCGGCACCAAACCCTCACTTCTGAAGTCTGAACTCTAACATCTCAAAGCCTGAAACTCAAAAAATCAAAAGGCCAACGTGCCAGTTTGCAGTCCTGATCGCCCTTGCTTTCCGGGGACCACTTTCGAAGCAAAGCTGCCAGCAGCCTTGCACAAATTTCTTGGAGCATGGTACAGGTGCACATGGGGGGTTTCTCAAAATTAGGGGTACTTCATTAGGGGTCCCTCTAATAAGAGCTATCATATTTTGGGGTCTTTATTCTTCTTCTTAGGGCTATGCTCACCCCTGGCAGGCAAGCCGGAGCATAGATCCGAGCCCTCGAGGAGCGAGCAGATCAGTCCAGTCCGCACCAGCAGGGCACAAGTACACATCCGGGCAGTGGGCGAAGCACCATGAATCCTACGCGATCTACCCCACTGCCTCTCCCCGATTGTGGTACTCTTCACTTGAACTGGCTGTGAGACAACGTCTTTCCTGGACCACTCTGCATCAAGCACTCTGCACGACTCGGGCCACCAGTCAAGCAAACAGCTTCAAACAAAGTAGCCACACTTATGACCTACGGATCACGTGCCCCGGCATGCTGCAGCTCTACCTGTCCCCCCCCGAACTTCCGCTCTCATGGCGGGTGATCGAGCGGGCTGGTGACTGCTTCTGTGCTGTCAAGCAAGCGGAGAATGGAAAGGGATATGCTAGTTGACTCCTTGTTGTGTTGGAAGCAAGCAGGCAACCCTACATGGTCAGACAAGTGATGGTACATGCCCAAGACTACCTTAGCATCCCAAGTCAACTGCCAACGAGGTCACGCAACGTCTGTCCGCTGAATGGGCAACTGAGATGGTGCCCGTTCTGCAAGGCGGGTCACGCAAAGGGCGCATGAAAAAAAGGGAAGATTGCTCAGCTACTCCTACTTGCAGACACTGAAAGAAAACAATGAGAGCATGCACACCCTCAGCCTCACTCACAGACTCCGCACTACTTGCAGGTTAAGTGATCCCAGCACACACTCATCGAGGTCAGTCATTACGAGGATAGATAGAAGCAACACTTTACGCCCCTGCCCCGGAGGGGATGACTTGTATTTCTTGTTACGAGGCTCTTGATTTTCTTTTTTTGACTGCCCTGTGGCCTCTCTAGGTTTATGACTGCCTCTTTGTGTTGGGGTGTCCGCTTACCTTGAGTGTGGGCTAATCAAAGCCTCATTATTGAAATACCGCTCCGAGCAGCTGCCTCGGCATGCTCTATTGATGCCATGCTGTTGTGCGTCACTGTTTCAGCCTCACGCTCAAGTAGCCGATAGCACGGCCTAGGAGTCTAGCTGCCCTGCATGCTGCTAGCGGTTAAAATAGCATGCTTTGCTGTTCGCCTGATAATTTTGGGACAGCGGCAGGTCGGACACTTCGCATCCGGATTTTGCACGTGCCGGAGGGCACGTGTCAAGCAGAAATGGATATGTCCACAAGGTAAGAAAATCTGGTTCGCAGGAGCCAAGAGGCAACCAATGCAAGTGGGCTCTACCATCTCCTGTGACAAGCGGGCGCTTGTAACCTCAAGCTCTTGTAGCTGGCTGCACGTCTGGCTCAGCTCAGACTGGAGGCTCGATGCAGTCATGTCCTCTTGACCGTGCATGTCTTTCAACTTGGACTCCACAAGTCTGACCTTGGACGTGGCATCCTCCACGGCTTGATTATATTTCTTCAGCCGTGCCTGCTGTTGCTGACTTTTTCGTTCCTGCACGGCCTTGCGGATTTCCTCCATGTCTGCAGCCTCGTCTGCAAGTGGCTGGACGTGTTCTTCGGCCGAGGACTCCTCGGTCTTCTCGGCTGCTTTCCATTCTGCTCTGCACAAGAATGGAAAGCAGCCGAGAAGACTGAGGAGTCCTCGGGGTGGCGGCAAAGCCGAGGTCGAAGGACTGTTGGGCCAAACCATCTCTTGAAAGCCTGTGGTGAGAGACTGCCCGCCTCGTCCGGGATCGCGATGCAGACCAAACGGTCTATGGCCTCAGCAGTAAACTTGGAACCAACGACAAGAACGAATGCCTTTCTCATCAGATGCCTGCCAAATTTCCCGTCTTGATCGATCTTGCAGCATGCTTGGTAAACCTCGTTCCATCCAAGCTGCCCCCAGAGACCCTTCTTCAGGGCCCAAAACCGTTTCTTGACGGTCAAAACAGCCTCATCAGCCTTCTCCAAAGAAAGGTCTTCAGAGCCCCCTTGAGGCAGTTGCCGCACGTCTCGGCTCAACTCCCGGAAGAAGCTTGCTGCTTCAGCCTTGAAAACTGCGCGCTTCGAATTTAAAGTAGGCCAGTAGGCTTCCTGTAGCTTTGCCAGGCCGTTTGGCCAAACATCTCTCTGGTATTCTCCGATCACATACGTCGTATGTGATCGGAGAGTCCCAGAGAGATGTTTGGCCAAACGGCCTGGCAAAGCTAGACATACGACATGTCTTTCCGAATTCAGCCAAAATGGCGGCGGTCTTTATTCTCTCTCTCTCTCTCTCTCTGTGCCGCGGCATCCAGAGGGTCTTGCGCAGCAAGGGCACGCTATACAAGTGAAACCAGCTGAGTCCGTCAAGCACCCCATAAGCGCCCAAGAGCGCTCACAATAACCCTAATTTTAGGAAACTACCACATCTTTCAGGCTATGGAATTGGAAATACGCGAACGTGCGGCAGCCACGATTACATTGATACCTACACCTCTGGGGGTCAACATAATGCTGGATAATTGCGACTTACTGTTCCCATGCACCCCACCACAGACTGGTTGGCCATACTGAATTGTGGATTTGTGAAGAAATTTGCAACCATGATTACGCGGCCCTTCGCGGTCTTAATCAAACTTCAGGCTTCATAATGGGTTGCGCCTGGCCAGTCTGCGCCGACTTCGTGACAGCTCTTCAAGAAGCCTGCATGGAACACAAATTGAACACAAGAAGCAGCAGCATCGCCCTCACACCATTACGTCTCCAAACACACGTTTTGTCGATCCTCTTTTGCAGAGGTGGCTTCTGTCTAGATACTCCCACTTCACTTGCAGGTAGCTACTAGTAGCAGGAAGGGAGGCAAATCCCTCAGAATGGTTGCTGTCATCCATTTTTCATCCCCCACTAAAACTGTGTGTAAGCCTGCGAGGTCGGGCCTTGCCCGCTGCGGGGAGAGCTCAATGCCCTCGAGCAAAGCAGCCTCCCGTTTGATTGGACAGACGAGAGAATTACTATTAATATTAAAACATAAATATTAGCTACAATATACTTATTGTTGATATTACTGATAATAATCTGAGTTATCATATTAAAGGACTCAAGATCAGGGTTTCGGGCTCTCTTCCAATCCCGGAGACTTTGGTCGGGTCTGGGGCTTAGGGCCAAGGGAACGTTTTCTGGGCATCCTTGAATGAGCGTCATTTCTATTCGGGAGGTATATGGTAGGGCACCCTAGTTTTAGACCAAAGCTCTTCTGGTACGCCAAAAACGCCTGCAGCCTTCGCATAGAACTTTGATCTATGAGCCTTTACAAGGAGTCAAGTTGGTGTGGGATTGGGATCCTTTGGGGCTTTAAGATTTGGCAGAGGTGTATACCGGCTGAATTAAAGGTTCCTCTAATTGTGGTCCTTTTAGGGGGCTCCTATAACAAGACATGTAAGTGTTGGGGAAGATTTGAGAAACTGCTGGGAGCCTAAGGCACCTGATACCTGGTACTGGGTAGGCTCTATACTGCGGCCGTGCAGCAGGCCATGCAGCCAGCCACTCGTTGCATATTTCTTGAAGCCGCAGGCATCTTCACATGGGTGGTTGTCAAAATTATGGTCCCTTTTTGGATCTCTGTTATAATATTTAGGGTACCAAAAAAGGGACCATAATTTTGACAACCACCCACATGACTGATCATTCCATGTCGTTCTCAAATCCGGCCTTGTTCAGCCAGCTCTCCACTTCCGAGCCCTGCAGGGAAGGTAGCATCAGGACATCCAAAAGCGACATCCAAAATATCGATGAAGCTCACGGCCACATCTGTATATACATATATATGCATACATACATACATATATATATATATATAGCTTTTGTAACCTAACATATCCCAACTAGGGGCCCAGATTGTTCAAGGATATCCCCATGTTCTGGAGCCAACCTCCCCTAAACCCCTAAACCCCTAAACCCCTAAAGCCTTCGGAGAGTCAGGCAATGCGGACAGCAACTCTTCAGTCAGAAGCCGTCCCCAGACAGGTTTGGCCTCTTCAAAGGGAGATGTAGGGGTTCTATAAGGGTTATGTAGGGGTTATATAAGGGTTATGTAGGGGTTCTATAAGGGTTATGTAGGGGGTTATATAGGGGATTTAGGGCTTAGGGTTTCCCAAAAACTCTGTACTCTCCAAAAACCACGGCTGGGGGTTTTCCAAAATTAGGGGCACCGTTTTAGGGTCCCTATTATAAGGCCTATAAGTATTTTGAGGTCCATATTGGGGTCTCCCAATTTTGGGGAACTACCTGCTCTACTCTCGAGGGCCTGGCAGACTCTTTTGTTCACTACACTCATCTGCAGGTCGACTGTCAAAGTTGAAGCAGCCCGTAATAGTCCAGCAGGAAACCAACAAATGCCTACGGAACTGGCGTGCACGTGACTCTGATACTGTTCCTGCCGTCAATGCAATTCGGATACAAACATTGACTCCTGCAAACATTGACTCCTGCTTGACTCTTTGCCCCGTTTGGGGCAGCAAAATAGGTGCGTTCCAGGCAGAAACCTGATTGCAATGCGCAAGGATTGCGCAAGGTACAGCAAAACGTTTACTCTGCAGGGCTTGTGGGGCTCGTGCCCTCAAACCAAACAGTGACACAGGAAAAGAAGTCTGGGGCTACGATGAGGTCGAGCTCCATCATTTGCATGGTCATGAGAAGCAGGTAGCCCGTGCCAGCGAGGCAAGCAAACACAACATGCTGGAAGCCGGGCTGTGAAGGGCAGTGGGCGTAGCATGTGTCGTGAGCCTCAGGGCCGCAAAGTGGCTGAAGAATTCCTAGCACGACTTGAGCCACAACAAGGACAGCACCTGCGATCACCTTCAACCAGTTATAGACCGATGGCCGCAACCATGCTGCTGCAGTCCAAGAGATCAACGCGACGAACATCACAAAGCCAGCAACCCCAGCGACCGTTACGTCTGAAGATGTCGCTGCGGCTGCAGCCAGCACTGCTAGCATGAAAATGCCACTCAATATCCACAAGACCTGCCAAAAACGCTTGTTCGCCAGCATGCCTTCACCGAGGCAGAAGGCGATGCCGATCAATGGATCCACAGAAAGCGTGATCAGCAGACGAAAGGAGAGAACAAAGTTGTCTCCGTCCGTGTACGCATGACAATAGATGGCCCACATGCCATAACCAATTGCGGCCAGCAGCAGGTAGAGTGGATAGAAGCGGTACCACAGTCGTGAAAAGGGCGGCTTCTGGTTGGCGCCAAGAAACCATGCAAGTATTCCCAGAACCAGCAGAACAGCCGACAGAGCGTACAGGGATATGTAGGAGGCTGGGTGAGCTGCCGCTGTCGTGGCAGGGTCCGGGATTTCACAATCCATGGCCACTACACGTAGGGAAAGCGCTCTAGAGAGAAAATTGAGGTTGAGGTTAGTTTGAGCTTTTTCAGAAACATGGCGCCTCCCTAAGGGTGCAACTCAGTCTGCGGCATTCAAAAGTTCAGACTTCAGACAGCCCATTCTGAGACATGGCAATCAGCTATCTTTCGCCAGCAGATGCCTCAGAGAAACGAAGCTGCAGAAGCTTCTTCATGGTCTCAGCCAGTCCTCTGCAGATCACACAACAACAGAACTCCTCAAACCCTCAGGTCAAAATTCCTGAAGCATCCATTCTGACATGTGCGCTTCCCAAAGTGTAGGGTGGGCACCATTTTGGAGGTCTCTTTTTTGCAACAGGACTATAGTATTGGTTCCCCCTTTTCGGGAAACCATTTATGTGCTCCACTCTGCCTGGCGTGAGGATGTTAGAGGTCACCCAGATACATGGGGCTCCCCTCAATTAGTAAATTAGGGTACCTTTTGGGGGCCCCCACATAATAAGGAGCATAATATTTTGGGGTCTATAGCGGGGTCCCCCTGTTTAGGGAAACTACCACATCAGCAACTGGCAGCCCTGTTCAAACCATGCCAAATCCACTGACTACAGGCCCTGATCCCAAGCATCGGAGTGCAGTGAGAATGAAAGGCTTCTCACTCTTGCCTACCCTAGCTTACTGGGGGTTAGTAGGGAACATGGGACTACATTATATAGGGAGTCTACAGGGAGCATATTGCCTCATTCCCTGCTAAGAACCAGCAAGCTTAACCAAAAGCCCTAAACCCTCGCTACCATGGTAGCGGCTCAGTGTGTCCTTGATCTGCCAAACAAGCAAGGTCGGAGTCCTTTGCCTCACGAAAGACCTGCGCAAGAAACTGCTGGTTATATAGGGATTTTATCAAAATAATTGGACATTGATTGTATTACTGCACCTAATATCTAGGGTACTAAAATGGGACCCCAATTTTGGGAACTACCCATATAGGGATTATGCCACAGTCCTCCCCAAATCTACCCAATAATGGAGAATCGAATGCAAAAGAAAATGGGAAAGGCATACCCCACACGTGCCTTCAAGGACTTCACCACAAACCTCTGTTGCGGCGACACGCTGTTCAATCAGGACTTGCACAAGCACAAGGCTGCCATCCAGGGACTGTCCCAAATCACCTGCTGATTCAAGCATCTCCTCTCGGTCCATCGAGGCCTGACAACATGGCAGTTCCCACAAAACAAGAAAATTCTACACCAGTCGCGCAGGATGTCCAGCTGTATGCCAGCAAGAAGCCAACAAATGTACAGCTTCCTGCAGCCAACGGCAAAGTTGGATGTCTGGAGCCTTCCTGAGCTAACTGAAAAGTGTGCAAGCAAACCTCAAAGGCATGGATCTCAACCTTCCGCACTGTAGCGTTGCATTTTGTGCTAGCTGCCGTGCTGAGCAAAGGTTACAGTAGCGCATCACAGGACAGCATGCTTGCGAGAAGTGATAGTCTCGCTACAAAATGCCTCCGGTTCTCTTGCTTTCCAGCTGTGTGTAGCGCACAGCCCACCCAGTACCATCACCTTCCAGAACCTCCTGCAAAGGGCTTCCCAACATTGATCATGCGCGTCTTTGCTTGCTCGGGGTTTCATCCATGGATTAATCCAGAACATCTGACTGACATGCCATATACAAAGCCAAACAGACCAATTCCCCGCTTTTGCTTTCATATCCTGAGTTGCTGCGGCACTCCCACTGTTGAACATCACCGCCCTACCTCCTGGTTGGCAGCGCTTTCGGTTGGCTGCGCCACAGCCTGCGCGGCCAGGACATGAATGGAGCTGACCTGCTCACGCCGAAAGATCTTTAGACCCCGAACTGTGCTGGCAGGGGTCGACTGAACTTCAATCCTTGTTCATCCTCTATCCATATCCCGTTCAGTTTGCACGGGGCTCTGGACTTCGATGCAACGGAGTGTATAAGTGTATGAGCTATAGTGTAAACTCCTAGTATCCCCCTAAATAACCTTTATGATAGTCCCCATATAATCCCGTATATAAGCCCCTTTAAGGAGTTCAGACTATAGCTCATATAGGATGCAAGAAGTTGCACAGCCTGGATTGCTGCCACGAGCCCGGTCTTCAGCTTTGTCTCTGAAGGTCCCTTAGCAAGACCACACTGCTCTGGCAAAATCCCATGGCTCTAGGGCTGAGGGGAGGGAACTGCATAGCTGCTTAGAGCTTTGACGGTGCAATCCCGTCAAGTCTGAAGGCCTCTTCTTGGTCATTTCTTGGGACCCCGCACCCCTTACAAGAGCCTGCTGCTCTTCCAGAAACCCCGTGATGTCAAAAGCACACAGTGTAGTAGATGCCGCCTTACAGAACAACCTGTGAATGAGGGCCTCTGAAGGACTGCGGTCGTGGGGGCCACGTGTGCATGAGCGTGCGACTGAGTAGCTTTGTCGCGCTTTGCAGGCTCTTGCGACAACTCCTCCACGCACTCAAGTGAAATCGAGTGGCCACTACCATGAGCACAAGCACCGCGACACTGTCACTAAGACGAATATGTCGCTCCCGGAAATGAGTTTGCCCCCTCGCTCGGGTCATTGTCACACCATGGCAGGCAGTGCGTAATCGGATTGATACCAAAAGTCTCACATCCACAGCCTTGGCCATCGCTAGCAGCACTGCCGCTCGTCGAGCTAGCGCGGTCTCCTACTGGACATGTGGAGGATTCAGGCCTATGGCTGACTTGTTTCGAGCTACCCCGTTTGCGCGCTCCTGTGCAGGTAGTCTCTTGCCAATGACGAAATACAACCGAACACCGGTTCTCTCCAGCAAGCAGAAAACACGAGACTAGATGTTTCTTCAAATAAGGTCCCCATACAAACCTACATAAACAACAAGACAAGATGGGTGACAGAGGAACCCCAAGGCCATCATTCTGAGGTACTCCACCGATCCCAACCAGCACTGCAATTCCCGGCCCTGCGCATCCTATACCTATCTAGCCCTCTCATCCCAACAAAACATCCCCTTCAATGTATTGTCAACTTGCGTGAGGCCCTTGCATTCCTTTCAATTACTATGCTTTTCTCTTATGGGAATCTTGTGTCTCGGGGGGTAGGTACTGGGAAACCTTTGAAAACCTTTCGGGGTACAGTTGAAGTACTTGGGAGAGGTATTGGAGATTGATCGATTAGCAATCCCCTTGGACCATCCCCCCGTAAGGACTCATTTAAATTTCAAAGCAGCCCAGCAAGACCCTGAAGGCGAGCTCCTCAGTCTCAGCAATGGATGCCTTCGGCTATATCTAGGGGTTCTACAGGGATATATTGGGCTATATCGAGGTTTTACTGGGATATTGGAAAAGAAAATGGAAACCACTATAATGGGTTATATAGCTACTGCTTACTACTCGTCGCTTAAGGGTAAGTAAGGCCCTCATGCGGCAAGTTGGAGCTCCATGGCTGCTCGAAGTGGTGTCATCCCCTCCCCCTAAATCCTAACCCCCCCACCCCCCCTAATATTAAATGCTCGCCATATATTATGTTATACCATGTAATGGGAGTTTAAGCATTAGGGAAGGGTAAAATAGAAGGGGGAGGGGATTAGGGATATGTGAGGAGATACTGTGGGACGCAGAGGCTTCAAGTCTTTTTCGCTAGTGGACAATTGAGATGAAAACCTGGGCATTTGAAACAGCTTCAGGCCCGGCCTCTGGATCTTGGATGTCAGCAGTCTCCTGGCACAAAGCTTCCAGGCTGGTGTGCAATCACTCAAATACCTTCTTGTTGCCAGTGGACTGGAACGTACAAGCTGTAGCGGCATTAGCAAAGGCAGTATTGAGCAAGCCCACCACCACCCTCGCCGCCACTACCGCCAAGCCCAATACCAACACCAACTACGTGTACACCACCTGAATCAGGAGCAGCAACCCGAATCGCTTCGGCACTTGCGCCAACACCTGGCATTTGCCGCCGCCAGCTCGATCGTACTAACACGTCAATCGTCGCAAGAATGCTGGCTACTTCTGTCACGCAATGACAAATTTGAAGTCCCCTTTCCTGGCAGTCGTCATCCACGAGCGATGGTGTGGCCTGCCAAGTCAAGCAGGCGCGTGCCGCACGAACAGTCTTCCAACATCTCTCGTGCTCCTCGGACTAAGCCCATATTTGGCTAACGTAGCAGATTAGCTCTCACCCTACTCTAGATAGGAGCCTTTGCCAAGACCACAGCGTTGTCAACAACCTTGCGGATGTCCTGTTGTCAGAAAAGGCAAGCTGCACAAAAACACTCATCCTAGCTCATCATTCCATGCACGGCTGCAAGGCTTCTGCACTAACACCTCCGCCGCTTAGTCCTTATATGGGATTTGGGATTTCTGCCTCCGTCAGGCTACGGATGACCGCTTGCTCACTAAGGTTTGGACCTCTCCGTGCACACAATCTTGTCCGCATGACCATGAGTGCCATGACCCCTGAGGATCCCCTGTGGTGATTCTTGCTGGTATCTTGGGAAGTCGGTGATCCAGTCAAAATAGGCAGTCCGGACGCTGCTCGACTGGGGACGGCAAAGCCGACGAAGCAGTGGAGCGCCTGTTTGACAGTAGCATTTGAGGGGGTTGGGACGAAGGCATAGCTTCAGCAGTTTTTGCTCTGGGCTTTAGATTTATGACCATGCAATCTCTAAAGGTCCCCCGCCTGTTCTCGCCCCAGTCTAGAGACACCAGGCCCGCAAAGAGCACGGCTCCCACAACGGGCCTCAAACGACCAGCATGATGCACGACTCAGTCTGTAGCTGCTGAGAGGTAGCCACTTTTAGCCTTCAACCCAACGTAAACCAAGTCAAACCCACGATTTTGCTGAGCCACACGGACATAGCATTGCCCGCAAGGAAAACAAGCTCGTTCTCCGTGTGGTTATCTTGGCTGCAACGTGTGGCTCTACACAGCCACGGCCGGACAATATGAAATTGAAGAAAAAATCATATTCAGTGAGAGCACCTAAGTTCAGCTCCTCCAGCG